GGGGGGGGGGGTTTGCTAGGTTGTTGGTACATTGGGGGCCTTTGAAAATTCGACCCTCAATTTTCATGATTGTTATTATTTTCCAAACCTCCTTGATTGTTGTTGTTGTTCCAATTCCCTTGATTATTAGGAATCCAACTGCCTTGGTTATTTTGAGAACGCGATTGTTGTTGAATGGAGCCTTGGAAATTGCTTTGTTGCCCTTGGTAATTGTTCATAAATTGTACCTCTTCTTCTTTCTCATGATAAGAATTATCTTGATCAAAACTACCATCATCTTGTGCATAATTTTCTACTCCGGATTGAAATTGTGGACCCTTGTTCCTCTTCTTGTTGACCAACACATTTACCCCTTTCATAGCATGAACTTGCTTAGGAGCTTACACTTAATTAAATTGGGCCTTAGCGAGTTGTGTCATAGTTGTTGTCAATTCAGCAATGGCTTGCCCATGGTCTTTCAACTCTTTATGAAGATGAATCATGTTGGGATCACCTTGGGGAACATCAGCACGGGATTGCCAAGACGAAGAAGTTTTCGCCATCTCATCAAGAATCTCATATGCCTTCGCATAAGGTGGTGTCATAAAGTTGCCTTCAACCAATTGATTGAGCATACATTGGTTCGTAGTATTAATACCACGATAGAAAGTTTGTTGGATCATGTTGTCGTTCATAACATTGTTCGGGCACTCCTTCACCATTGTCCTATACCACTCCCAAATTTCATGCAAAGGTTCATCGGGCTATTGCTTGAAAGCCAATATTTCATTTCGAAGAGTAGCCATGTGACCGGAAGAGAAAGATTTAGCAGTAAACTTCGCCGCCAATTCATCCCAAGTATGGATAGAATGATTAGACAAGTGTTCCAACCAACCTAAAGCATTACCCCTTAATGAGAAAGAGAAAAGCTTTAGCCTCAATCATCTTCCGAAACATTTGCTTGTTTTCTCCCCAACACGTATCACAAATCCCTTCAAATGTTTATAAGCGTTTTTACCCGGCGCCCCGGTGAAATAACCTTGTTGCTCAAGCAAAGTGAGATTCACATTGGTAATTTGAATGTTTCCCGCCCTAATGCAACGGGGGACTACGGCACTTGCATAATATTCATTGGGCAAAATTCGATGTTGTGCCGCCTGTGGTTGTGGTGGTGGAGCCGCGGGGGGGGGGGGGGGTGGGGGGGGGTGAGGCACGTATTGTACTTATTAAACGATACGGC